TCAATGGGAAAATATCCTCGGGTGAGGATTAACAACAAAAAACATGCTTGAAACTGCAAGCCCAGTTGGTATCTAACAACATCAACACCTCCTCATAAGCTGTCTTTTGTAAGTGCTTTGCAGTGTTTTCCATGTATAACACCTGATGACATGTGATGTAGAATGAAATTCAGATGATGGGCTTTGAGTCTATATTATGTGTCCAGACTCCCACCAAACGCCTGCATAAAAGGAGAAACTCGTTTGTTCGTCAAGCACAGTAAACTATTAGTGCATTCGATTTCTGTGGCAGGAGCGATGACAGCAGTCCCCACAAGAGGGCAGTTGTGTCTCCCCTCCGCCCTCCCCCTCCACCCGCCCTCCTTCCTCCCCAACCGCGGACACACACCTTCAGCTACTGGAGACTCTGATAGGAATGGCCAAGTTGGAACAAACTCTCCCGCGTTGGAGTGATCAATGTCGTACCATAGAGAAAGGTGAAAATGGTTTGCCCTTATTCGTAACAGGAGGGTTTCTTGCACTTGATTTTGTCACGTGAAGAAAGGGGCCTTTACAAAACCTGGAGGTGAGGACGGGGTGGAGGCCCTGAGTTCAGACGCCTGGGGACTGAGCCACCTTCGGAACGGGAACGCTTCAGCTTAAAATAGCTTTGCGGCCCACAGGAAATCGTTCTGGAATGTACACCTCTTGCACAATTTAACGTCTCTGTTTCGGGGGGCGGGTGTTTAAATTACAACATTGTTTGACAACAGTTTTACTATGTAAAGGACGCTTTTTAAACAAACCTAGGACCTGGCTGAAGCCTGCGTTGCTGCAGTCGGCCACTGACGGGGCGGCTCCCAGCGGAGGGTTAGCCCTGAGGATCTAAGCGAAGAGTTGATATTGTGAAGTCCGACAGCTACTACTGAACATGGCGCGTTTGCAGATGTCATTTCCAGCATCAGTGTGGTGTTTTGGTAACCGTGGGAAACCACAGGGAGACTCAATGTATGCTTTATGGCTCTGTCATGAATGGGCAGTGCTAGTCACACTTAAACACGCTGAATTCAAGCCTTAGGACATTTGGCTTAACCAGCCGACTTCAGCTACATTTTGCTGATCCTTTTGTTGCAGTTTTTTTTTTTTAATCCTCACTGAGAATATTTTTTTCCATTGATGTTTAGAGAAAGTGGAAGGGAGGTAGGGAAGGGGAGAGAGAAACCTCGATGTGAGAGAGACACGTCGATTGATTGCCTCCCGCACGCACCCCAACTGGGACCCGGATCAAACGTGGAACCCAGGTATGTGCCCTTGACTGGGAATCGAACCCGGGACCCTTTGCTAGGCGGGCCGATGCTCTAACCACTTGGTCACAGTGGCCAGGGCATATTGCAGTTTATTTTTGATTGAGTATATCTGATAAAACAGATTTTAAGTGGCATCCTAGTTTATGACGTTACTTTAGTAGGTTTGTATCATTTCCAAGGCCTGGCTGCGTATGAGCCTGACCTTTAAGTCATTGTCTTTTATAGCACGCACCATCTAGGACAGGGGTCCTCAAACTTTTTAAACAGGGGCCAGTTCACTGTCCCTCAGACCATTGGAGGGCCGGACTATAGTTTAAAAAAAAAACTATGAACAAATTCCTATGCACACTGCACATATCTTATTTTGAATTAAAAAAAAAAACGGGAACAAATACAACATTTGTATTTGCATGTGGCCCGCGGGCCGTAGTTTGAGGACCCCTTATCTAGGATTTCAAAAGACATAAATCCCTTTTTTCCTCAGCAGTTGCAGGTAGAATACTGTAGAGGTCGCTCACCATGCGTGCGGAGACAAAACGGCAGTAAAGAGACCTCCTAGCCCGCCAGTTTTCTTCTGTCCGAGGACTGAAGGGTCGTGGGTTCGATTCCCTGTCAAGGGCACGTACCTCGGGCGCAGGTTCCCCAGCCCTGGCGGGGGCTCGTGCAGGAGGCAACCAATCGATGTGTCTTCCTCACGTCGATGTTTCTCTCTCTCTCTCTTTCCCCCTCCCTTCCACTCTCTCTAGAAATCAATGGAAAAAGTGTCCTGGGTGAGGATTAAATAAACAAAAACCTCTTAACTGAGCCAGGCCGAGTGGAAGCTGGCCACAGGGCGACACGCTCCTCTCGGGGGCAACCAACGAGCTGGAAGGCACCGTGTTGCCATTTCCTGCTCGTGGAGTATGACAAGGGTCCCTGATCGAAAGACTCATCCTGATCTTCGGTATAATTACGTCCCAAGGCCTGAACCAGCAGAATCCGTAAAGTGAGAACAAAGCAGCGTGCTTGACAGTGAGTTACTTTAAACCCATCATCATTGGTCACTTTGTCTGCAGGCGACACCCAGTCCTCGGGGTGCCTCCCGCGAGGGCTGTGGCACCTGTCACCTGGGTGTGCACTTGTCCCTGCACTGGTCACCCTCACTCCGTCCGCCTGGGCCTCAGGGTACTCCCCCTGCAGCGTGGCTCTGTACACCTCCCACCACTCAACATGCCCGGCCTTCATCCAACTCCGTCATCTTCGGGGACACTCCAGCTCCTTCGAGGCCCTGGACAGCAGTGGCTCAGAATGCTCTCGGGCATTGGGATTACCTGGGGAGCTTATAGAAACCAAACTCCTGGACCCCCAGGCCCGTGGAATTAGCAGGGGGTGGCCCCGGAGAATCAGCATTTTCCAGTTTTGTTGCAAAGCGAGCTCCGGGGCCTCTTGCTCTCCAGGCTTCGGCCCTCCCCGCCCTCACTCATGCTGGGAAAACTAGAGATGCGAATGTTCTGCGGCAGCCATAGCTTCCATTCTCAGGTTCTTCCCAGAACAGAACGCAGCCTCTCTCCAGTGGCCTGTCCACCGCTCACCGTCCCACGGGAACAGAAAGAGGCAGAGCTTCCAGAAGCAACAAGTCCCACCTGTGTTGTGGGACTTGCCAGCCTCCTCCATGGCTTGGCACCGAGATGGCAAACTCAGGGAACCGGGAGCAAGCACGGCAGCTGTGACAGTGTCAGGCACAACCGTGACAGGAGAGGGACAGCGAGAAGACCCAGGATTGCTGACTGTCCAGGAGGTGCTGCTCCCGGTGACGGCGTCGCGGGGCAGGGACCGTTTCACAGTGCACGTGTCTGACCGCGCAGGCGTGTGTGTCCTGTGTCAGGTAACGCTCCTCTCGGCACACGGGGCCCTGCAGAAGGAGGACGCTGTTCTTCTTAAACATGATTCTTACCCCTTACTGTGACAGACGGGACAATCCCAGCATGGGTGGATGGATGAGTACAGGTAGATACCTGCTCATATTTTTTAAATTCCATGAAGAATCAGACATTAGTCAAGGGAAGGTGGGGCCCTCAGATGTTGGGCAAATAGACATTCGTTTACTCATCACAACTCGTTATCTAAATGAAATGGATATTGCAATTCTTCTTAGTGCTAGTTTCCAACAATACATCTTTTTTCATTAAACATTTTTTAATTTTTTGAGGTATAACTGACATACAGTAAAATCCCCCACCCTATTTTTAAGGGTATAATTCTCTGAGTTCTGACAAATGAATGGCCATGTACCCATCACTACAATCAAGTCATAGAGCATCTCCATCACCCCAACATCCTTTGTGTCCTGCTCCCAGCCCCTAGTAACCACCGGGATAGGATACAGACAGAATCACCTGAGATCCAGTCCTGCTGCTGGTGGACCTCTTGTTCATTTCATGGCAGAGTAACATTCCATGGTATGGGCAGTCCACAACCCATTTATCCATGCAGAGTTCAAGGGCAGGGGAATGGTTCCCACTAGACTAAGAATAAAGCCGTCATAAACATTTGTGTACAGGTTTGGTGCAAACATATATTTTCATTCCTCTTTAAGTGAGACTTCCGGGTCATCAGGTGGAGTTATGTTTAATTTTATAAAAAAACTCCCAAGCCTGTTCCCAAAGGGCATGCACCATTCTGTGTTCCCGCCAGCCAGGTCTGAGCGTGCCAGCTGCCCAACACCCAATGCCACTTGGCATCGTCAGGGTTTGTTTTGCTGTTTTGTTTTTAGCCTCCTATTGGGTTTGCAGTGCTAATACATTGTGGTTTTCATTTCCATTTGACTAGTAATAGTAACTTTGAAAAGCTTTCCATGGGCTTCTTTGCCATCTGCATATCTTCTTCAGTGAAATGTCTGGTCAAATCTTTTAACCATTTTTTAAAAATTAGGTTGTTTGAGAGTTATTTATAGATTCTGGACACAAGTTCTTGATGAGACATATGTTTTGCAAATATTTTCTCCTAGTCCGTGTCTTCTCTTTTCATTTTGGTAACAGTGTTTTTCAAACAGCAGATTTTTTTAAAGTTTTGATGGACTCTAATTTATCTTTTTTTTTTCTTTGATGAATCATTCTTTGAGTGTCCTTTTGAAGAAATCTTTGCATAGCTCAAGGTCACAAAGATTTTTTTCCCCCTAGGTTTACTCCTAGAAGTTTTATAATTCTGTTTTGCATTTAAGTCTGTGATCCTTTTTTAGTCCAATTTTGTTTATGATGCAAGGTATGGATCGGGGTTCGCTTTTTGCACATGTGGGTGCCCAGTTGTTCCAGCGCCATTTATTGAAAAAAAACCTCCTTGTCCATCTCATTCCCTCTGCAGCTGTGTTGGAAGCAAATTGGCCCCACATGTGGGAGTCTATTTCTGGACTCCGTTCTGTTGCACCGATCCGCCCTTCATGGGTACCACACTGTCTTGATTACTGTAGCTTTATGGTCAGCATCAAAATCAGGAAATGTGAGTCCTCCAACACTGTTCTTTTACAATATTGTTTTGGTTATTCTAGATTGTTTTGCCTTCCAATGTAAACTTTCAAACACACTTGTTGACTTGTACAGGAAAAGATTGCTGGGATTTGGCAGGAGAGATGAATTTATAGATCAGTTAACATTTTAACAATATTGAGTCTTCAATCCGTGAATGCCGTGTATCTCTCCATTTATTTACATCTTCTTTGATTTCTTTCATCCTTGTTTCCTCGTTTTATAGTTTTCAGCATTCAGATCTTGCACAGGTGTTGGATATATACCAAAGTTTTTCATGTTTGTTTTTTTTTTTTTGGCTGGCGGGGGGAATATTATTGTTATTGTACTCTTTTTAATTTTTTTTATTTCCTATTGTTCATTGCCAGCATAGAGTAAGACAGCTGAGTTTTGTATGTTGGCCTTATATCCTGCAGTCTTACCAAATTCGCTCGCTATCAGTTCTGGCAGACCCCTGGGTGTTTTCCATAGAGACAATCATGCCATCTGCAAATAGAGACACAGATTTTATTTTTCCCTCTCCAATTTGTTTGTGTTTATTTCCTCACCATATTGCACTAGCTAGGACCTCCAGTAGGATGTTCAATAGGAGACATCTTTGCCCCTTGGGGGAAGAGCCTGACATTTTTGCCATTAAGTATGATGTTAGCTGTAGGTTTTTTGTACATGCCATTTATCAGGTTGAGGACATTTCTTTTTTTACCAGTTTGCTGAGGATTCATCATGAATGGATGTTAAATTTTGTCAAGTGCTTAAGAAGATTATTTGCTTTTGCGCTATCTGCTGATATGACGAATTACAATGACTGATTTTCTCATTTTGAACCAGCCTTGCATTCCAAAATAAACATCACTTGGTTATAATGTATTATCCTTGTTATATTTTGCTGGGTTTGATTTGATAATATTTTGTTGAGAATTCTTTCATTTAGGTTCTCAAGCAACATTGGTCTACAGATGTTTTTCTTGTAGTATATTTGGTATTAGGGCAATGCTAGCCTCATAAAATGGGTTGGGAAGTCTTCCCTCCTCTTCTGTTTTCTAGAAGTGTGTGTGGAATTATGATTATTTTTTCTTTGAATGGTAGTATTTACCAGTGAAGCCACCTGTTCTGGGGTTTTCTTTGTCAGAAAGTTTTAACTGTAAATACTATTTCTTAATGACCACGGGACTATTCAGGTTATCTATTCTTTCTTGACTAGGATCTGGAGTAAAGTAAAAGCTGCGCTCGGGCCCCTACTCTATACTGAGCAGTTTACCTGGGGCTGTCTTCTTCCCACGCCCGCACGGAGAAGGAGACTTGAACCAGTTCCTACAATCTAGGAGGCGCTATCGGGATTGAAGAAATAAATGAAAGATAGACATAAAACAGATTAAAAGCTTGGGCTGGGTGTGGTGCCTGCCCTCCAGAGGGACAGGCAGAGAGAGCCTGCTCTCCCGGAGGGGCAGAGCACACACAGAGAGCCAGCTCCGAAAGCTGCTTTATTATATACTTGAGTTACAGGAAGTTACATCACATCTGGGTGGGCCTTTGACATCATGAGATCCATCCCCTTAACTCTGGGCGGGGGAGTCAGACTGGGTGGCGTCCAATCTTTGGACTGGTCCCGCCCCAGGGAGTGGCTCTGCCTGCCCCCTGAGTCCAGCTGACGTAAATTAAACCAAGTGTATTCTACCGGCTCTTCGCACCACTCCACCACTAGGTAACCACAGATGCAGCCCTCAACTTCCTGGACTCCGATTTCCTTAAGTTATTCAACATACATAATTGAATGCCTTGGCTGATGTCGGGGAGACCAAGAGAGCTGAGGTGTGGTTCTTGCCCTAAATACACTTATAATCTCTTCTTCCTATTACTTGGGGCTCCTGAAAAGCAGACAAGACCTGCCTTTTAACAGGCCTCTGTTCTGCTAGTAAATGTTTAACAACAGCTTGGGGCGGGGGCGGAGGGAGGGGCCCTAACTGTCGTGTTAGCCAATTCCCATGGTGTAAATACCCCCACCATGGCTCGGTTTCAAGCTGCCAGAGTGAATCATTGTGTGGAGTTGGAGGAGACACAGGCACGCACCATTATGCAGTATTTCCGCTATCCCGAGACAATACAGGTGAATAACTCCACGGGCATGGATAACAGTAAAGTGTAGAAATAATTAAGGAGTGATAAGTTCTGAGCATTTATTACTTATACTAGAGGCCCGGTGCACGAATTTGTGCGCGGGTGGAGTCTGGCTGGCCCACCCCAATCTGGGCTAGCTGGTGGGAGGAGACACAGGAGGCTGTCCAGCCCCACCCCCAGTCGGGGGCGGGGCTGATTGGGGGCGGGGCCAGCTAGGGGGAGGGGCCACGGGCCATTGGCCAGCCAGCCCCACCCCTGGTCAAACTCCTGGTCAAGGGGACAATTTGCATATTAGCCTTTTATTATATAGGATGTTTAATATCATTCACTTCATATGTTTAATTTTAATATTGGCCACGTTTAACAACCAATATGCAAAATTCCTGATAATTCAGCCATCAGCATGTGTAACTTCATAGCTGTGCCACCTCCTTTGCTTGGAAGGACCTAATCTCTGTTCAGACAAGCCTGGGAATGAATTGGTTGATGTGAAAGAAGGTCCCACAGTAGCTCTTCAGCAGGGGGTAACGGGCTCTCCATTTCCAACAATGTCCACAGGAATCTCCCTGCTGGAGGCCAGACCCAGCCCTGAGGAACCAGGGGCTGCTGTGTTCCTATTGGCCATCACCAGCCATGCCCCTCCCGGGGGCTGGGGGTGGGGTCCGCACCCTGTGGAGCAGAGCAGGAAGTAGTGGTGGCCTTCAGATCCTGGTCCCGGGCTATGCCCCTCCCTGGAGCTGAGGGTGGAGCCAGCACCAGGTGCACCAGAGCATCTGAGTTGCTCTAGGGAAGAAAGAGGTGGTGGGTGTAAGATCTTCAGAAACAGCGAGGGGCCCCCACACACAGCCTCAGAAGCCCTCGGTTAACTGGGGAATCCCAAATGCACGTGTGGTCTGAGGCTTTTCAATCTTGGGATATAAACGTTTTGCTGCTCAAAGTTTTCAAATTTAAGAAGCAATACACACTTACGTTAAACTGCCTGACCCCCCCTCCCCATCCCTGCATTCCCATTGTTAGCAGCCCCTCCCACGCCCCTCTCCGTCTGTGCGTCCAGATACACATGCATGATTTTGCAGTAGACCCGGACCACATAAGCGGTCCCTCAACTCACTTGTTCTCGCTGTGCAATGAATCTGGGGCTTCCCTGCAAGCATCAGCTCTGGCTGCAAGCGTTGGCTCTGGCTGGACAGCAGCCTGTTCATTCATTGCTCCTACAGGGCTTGGAGTGCAAAGACCTCTTGAGATTTCTAAACTTGGTCAGAGGGTAGGAGGCGGTGGAGGGTGCGTTCATGCTAAAAATACCAGCCCAGGTTTGGGCCGGAAGTGCACCCTCAGAGCAGGCAAGGTGGGCAAGGCCCGGTGGCAGCACATCCGGGCTCTTCACAAAGCCTCCGCCCTCCCAGGCCCCAGGCCACACAGGGGCAGTGGTCCTGTCCCCAGCGACCAGGCTCGATTGTAGAAGCTGCCCCAAACTGAGTTACCGTCCCACCTCAGGATTTAGACCACAGCCAGGTACCACCACACAGATACTGGCTTATTCTTAACTCACTTTAAAAAATCAAATATGTTTTTTTTCAATCTTTAATTTCTTTATTGATTAAGGTATTACATATTTGACCTCAGTCCCCCCATAACCTCCCCCCCTCACTCATGCCCTTGCCCCCCCTGTTGTCCGTGTCCATTGGTTTGGCTTATATGCATGCATACAAGTCCTTTGGTTGATCTCTCCCCCTTACCCCCACCCTCCCCTACTTTCCCTCTGAGGTTTGACAGTCTTATCACTGCTTCTCTGCCTCTGGATTTATCCCTTTTCATCAGCCTATGATGTTCTCTATATTCCACAAATGAGTGAGATCATGTGGTATTTTTCTTTCATTGACTGGCTTATTTCACTTAGCATAATGCTCTCCAGGTTCATCCATGCTGTTGCAAATGGAACTCCTTGTTTTTTACCGCAGCATAGTATTCCATCGTGTAGATGTACCACAGTTTCTTAATCCACTCATCTGCTGATGGGCACTTAGGCTGTTTCCAAATCTTACCTATGGTGAATTGCGCTGCTATGAACATAGGGGTGCATATATCCTTTCTGATTGGTGTTTCTAGCTTCTTGGGATATATTCCTGGAAGTGGGATCACTGGATCAAATGGGAATTCCATTTTTAGTTTTTTGAGGAAACTCCATACTGTTCTCCACAGTGGCTGTACCAGTCTCCATTCCCACCAGCAGTGCACGAGGGTTCCTTTTTCTCCACATCCTCGCCAGCACTTGTTGTTTGTTGATTTGTTGATGATAGCCATTCTGACAGGTGTGAGATGACACTGCATTGTCGTTTTGATTTGCATCTTGTATAATTAGTGACGTTGAGCATGTTTTCATATGTCTTTCGGCCTTCTGTATGTCCTCTTTTGAAAAGTGTCTATCTAGGTCTGTTTCCCATTTTTTGATTGGATTGTTTATCTTCCTTTCTTGAGTTGTATGAGTTCCCTGTAAATGCTGGAGATTAAACCCTTATCGGTGATAACATTAGCAAATATGTTCTCCCATGCAGTGGGCTTTCTTGTTGTTTTGTTGATGGTTTCTTTGCTGTGCAAAAGCTTTTTATTTTGATGTAGTCCCATTTGTTTATTTTCTCATTAGTTTCCATTGCCCTAGGAGCATATCAGTGAAGAAATTCCTTTGGCATATGTCTGCGATTTCGCTGCCTATGGATTCCTCTAGTATTTTTATGGTTTCCCGCCTTACGTTTAAGTCCTTTATCCATTTTGAGTTTATTTTTGTGTATGGTGTAAGTTGGTGGTCTAGTTTCATCTTTTTGCATGTATCTGTCCAATTTTCCCAACACCATTTATTGAAGAGACTGTCTTGACTCCATTGTATGCTCTTGCCTCCTTTGTCGAATATTAATTGGGCATAGTGGTTTGGGTCGATTTCTGGGTTCTCTATTCTATTCCATTGATCTATATGTCTGTTCTTGTGCCAGTACCAAGCTGTTTTAAGAACAGTGGCTTTGTAATACAGCTTGATATCTGGTATTGAGACCCCACCTACTTTGTTCTTCTTTCTCAGGATCGCTGCAGCTATTCGAGGTCTTTTTTTATTCCAGATGAATTTTTGGAACGTTCGTTCTAGATCTGGGAAATATGCCATTGGTATTTTAATGGGGACTGCATTGAATCTCAAATACGTTTATTTTTAACTAAAACTTCACAGTACTATGTGGGGTAGGTGGGAAACCAATGTCACTTATCATAAACAGCAACGATCTAGATAAATAGATAATATATGTCATGATACGTAATGTTGCTGCTATTAACATGTCCGAGCATGTTGTCTGTGCCGGGCACAGTTCTAACACGCTACAATATCAACTCAGTCCTTACCTCCGTCCCCTGAGGGAGGGGCAGCGCCGCCCCCTTCCTACAGGTGTCCCCATCTTGTAGATGAGAAAGGAGGCTCAAAGCAGTGGCACCTTCAACAGACAGACACACTAACAGCGAAGACAGGGACCATCTCCAGTGTCCTGGTGCCGCGGTGGGAAACACAGCTACGCTGGATTTTGAATATGAATTTGCTTTCTGCATTTGCTTCATTCATTCACTCACTCATCTATTCAAGAAGCGATCGCTAAGCACCTACTGTGTGCCCCGAGCTGGGGAGGGGGCAGAGTGGGGTCCTGCCCCTCCCTGGAGGAGCTCTGGCTGGCAGTGGGGAAAGGCATTGAGGACAGGCATATGGGAGGTGTTTCAGAGCCATGAAGGGGGGGGGGCATTCACCAGCCTTGGGGGGGTGATGCTGGGCCAACTTTCTAAGCTTTGAAGGGTAGATAGGAACTGCGTGAAATAAGAGAAAAGGGGAGGAGAGGGCAATTGAGGCACATTTAAAAGATGGGTTAAAGTGAATCCCATTCTTCCTTGGACGCCCCTATTGTTGCGGCACTAAAAGAAGGTTTAGCCTCAGTTTCCTCATCTGCAGGACGGGACTCATGGGAGCAGCTTCCCGGAGCCACACCCATGAGAACGAACGCGTCACAGCCTGCGAAGCCGCCCAGCAGTGCCTGCCACTGAGCAATGCTCAAAACCGTGTTTTCCATGTGCCGCAGCAGCGCTTGTGTGCTGTCTGTGTATTCGATTTTTAAAGTGAGTTAGAAGTGGCATGCTCACAGCCAGTTTAACCTCAGTACCTATTACCATGTTTGTCCTCATTTGCATCCGCGCTGGAATTTCACGGGCGCAAAAATTAACCCGCAACTTCCACGTGTCCCTTCTGTCCTCCTGAGGGTTTCTTTAGAAAGAGCAGAAATCCCAGACCATCCT